ATTCAGTATGAACACCTTAAACATACCACTGCCAATTTCGCAGCTCTTGTTTGCTATCGCCAAAAATGGATCCTCCGGATATTGCTATTTAAAGAGACTCTTGCTTCATTTGAGAATAGCACATAATTCCAAAACAAAATTCTTGGAGGATCTCTATGTGTTGTCAAGCCCACTAGAGGCATTTCTAAGCGTTTCTTAACAACTATTCCATATGCGGGACACGTTACTCTGAGATATACCAATTCTATTGGCTGCGAGCCGTTGTGAGCCTTCCGTAACTAGTCACAATTGCCTTTGTCTGTTCCACTCACTTTCCCTACTCCTTACTAACAAGGTAAACATTTTTTTCTATTTTGCGTTCATAATGACTTCATTGTAACACCGCTTTCGGTGCTGTAATGAGGTAAATTTTGATTTTATAGGTTAGCAGCCAATCGTTGGCTACTTTTTAAAGTTTAAAAACAGCTTACTAGTAAAATAATATTTTGCATATTAGTTATAATATTTTTATGATTTTTCTAGTACTTACGAGACTTTTCTGGCAATAAATTTTGTTTAAGACCAAAGAATAGTATATTAAAGTACAAGTTGCAGAAGGCCACATATTCTCGCACGAATTCGAAATTTGGCCTCGAGCGACGAAGGAGCGAGTGGACGAACGAATGAGTGCGAGAATAGCCTTCTGCAACGTGTGATTTATACTATTTTCTCGATTTTAACTTTTATTTAGGTTTTTTTAAATGTTTTGTGGTCGTTGTTAGTTGGGGGATTTTTCTCGCAAAATGTCAGTTGGCAACACAAAATGACAGTTGCATGGACAGGTAGATTTATTTTTATTTACTATTTATTAATAATTATTATAATCTGTCTGTATTTGTCAACTGGATAATAAGGTTTTGTGTAAGTATTGTATTATTTTTTAATGTTTTCTGATATTTTTGAACAATTGTGTTTACTTTTAGCAGTAAAAAATGTCACAGGAGGTTTTACAAGCAACACTGAACATTACAATAAAAGTTTATAACAATTGTGCTAGTGATTAATTTATAGTAGTTTTGTGTTTTGTGTACTGTGGGTATATAATATTTCCAATAAAATATAGTTTGATTGACCTGTCTGGCTCATTTATTTGTCAATAGTTGTTATCCTGCACAAGTACCACTGAACTGCACTTTTTCACATTAAACTTAATTAATTTTGCATTAAAATGCATTGTTGGAGCAAACTTAATATAACAAAACAATAATAAAGGCTTCATTTTCAATAAAAGTGTAGTTCAGGTTGCACTAGTGCAGGATAACAAACAAAGCTATTATAAATAATCCTAAAAGTAATGAATTTGAGGTTATTAAACAGTTTGACATTTTGGGGGTACCAATACTTAAAAACTAAATGTTACCAAAAATCGTTTAAGAATGAGCTTCATTCTTCAACGATTTTGCGTGCGAGAATATGACATTCTTACATAAAAATCGAGAAAATCCTTTTTTTCTTCTTTAACATTAACAGCCGCTTATTGTAAATAAGTAAATTAAGGATGCCATGGCGAATCGATTTTGACATTAAACCAATGACTTTGATACCAAGTATAGAATTTTTGCAAAATAGATAAAATAGCATAAATAACTCAAGTCATAAGAAATAATAGTCCTCGTGCGACAAAATGACGTCTTATGATATTAGTTCTTTAACATACTATTAACGGTCTGCGCAGCACAAATCAGAAGGCAAACTGCGTAGGCATGTATCAGAGTAAAGATATGGTATTTTTCTTACTCTTTCTAATAGTTAAAATAGTTTCGTAATTATAATTATGAGTTTGACGATAATATTATTAAATATAATTTACACGCAACTTTTCCTTGTTCCGAAAACTAAAGTAATATTATTTTTTACAAATAACCGTAATACCTGGTGTACTTAATTAGCCTAAAAGTAAACCAATTATAATGAATAAGTATAGTTTAAATGTTAAAATAAATTGTCGCTCATGCATGAGCCATGGTAAAATAATAATAGCAATGAATTCATTGTAGCCGATCAAACACTAAATCCGATCAGCAAATTGATTGTTAATTATCCATTACTATGATTTAAACTCTGTATCAGTTATGATTAACTGTTGCAAATGATAATTTCCACTGGGGAAATTTTTAATTGCTCATAATTCATCTGCTTAATGATAACGAACGGCCAAAGCTAAGATATACTTTTCTACTTTTAGCAACTATAGACAATTAAAATGAAAATGATTATGCATTGAAATGTTTAGTGCCCATAAAAGTTTTCCAATTGGGATTTTATCTAATCTATAATGATTTCAAATCATTGTGACGTATACAATTTTGTATTATTTAAATTTAAATTACGTGCTATTTTTTATTTAACCATCTTTTAAATTTGTATGTCGTGTAAAAAGATTTATGCATGTTTCTTTCAAGAATATATTGCCTTGCTTAGTATAAAATATTTTATGTACATATAAATATATGTATATAAGTAGGGTGCATATAAATGAATAAAAAATAATTTAAAATTAAAGCAATTCTTCCAATATATATTTTACATTACAACATAAAAATTGTAGTAACATTTTAAAAAATTTTGTATCTAATGTTTTTTAACATTTAATATTGCAATTAAACTGCAATAGATTTTAAAAATAAACAAATTTAAATAGTGATCTTTATAATTATTATTAATAATTATTATATTTAATAAATGTTTTTAAAACCCCTTTTTTTGTTTTGTTTCAAGCCTAAAGGGTCTAGCATTGCAGGATAACTTACCAAAAAAGCTTAGAAACCAAAAGTAGAAAAGTTGTTGTGGTTTACCGTAGCTGTACATTCAAATCTGTTATACATATTAATAATTATTATGTAATAACATGTGTTATCCTGCAAAGGACATTTCCTTACTGAATCAGTAATAAATACTAATTCATCTTTGGCCAGACCATACCGCTGGACCAAATGTTCTAAAATTTTTACAGTGCATTCCTATAATGCCATGGATAACCGATAATTTTTTTAAAATTCTATCCGTAAATCGGGACATTCCAAAATTCAGTTTTAATCCCGGCGCATTCGCTATTCTAAAAAATATTTAACGGCAGTGGTTAAAAAATAATAATAATAAAATTAAAAAATAGTAGCACAAATTTGTAAGTGCAGTGCTTCAAGAATTTTTTTGAAATTCCTATTATGTCCAAAATTTTTAAATTTTACAAAATATTGAAAAAATCCAAAAAAAATTTGATGACAAAAAGCTCAAAACCTTAAAAAAGCTTAAAAGTTCAAAAGCTTAGAAGGGCCCAAAAGCTTACAAGATCAAAAAAGCTAAGAAGCTCAAACAAATCTTAAAGCTTATAAAAATTTAAATTTTTTAAATTTAAAAGCTGAAAATATTTTGGGTAATTGAAAACTGCATTTAATTTATTTGAAAGTTGGTAATTGAGAAAGTGTATATTAAATTTATTTTTTCTTAAAATTGAAAACTGCCCAAATAAAAACAAATGGATAATTGAAAACTGTCCTTACATTTAATTTATTTTAAACCGGGTAATTCAAAACTGCACATTAAAAATTAATGCTTGGGGAAATTGAAAACTGACTAATTTAAAAAAAATGGATAATTGAAGACTGCTCAACATTTATTTAATATTTAACTTAAATATCGGTTTATTTCATTCATTTAAAATAAAAAAATAAAAACAAAACACGAATTAAATAAAATTCTTCAAAAGAAGTTTCACTTTAGTCGTGTGGTCTAGGCTTCAGCTTTAGCGGGACGGAAATATAGGAATATCGATAAAGAAAGAAATAGTTTATGGGCCGAAGAGTAACATAACCACAAATAAGTCTGTACTTGATGGAATAGTTTTTCTAAGAACCACAACTAATATAGATTGATAGGTGGTACAAAATCCAATCCTGTGGGCAAGTTTGTATTAAGGTGTGAGTTTCTAGTTAATTTGTTTTTATTAAAAATGAAATTTTATAGTATTTTCCCCATGTACATAATTATAATTTGTAGAATGATAAGAAAACTAAAATGTTAATAAACACGTTTGCAAGTAATTAAATTGTATAAATAATGTCTTCTGCTTTAAGCTTGCCTTAAAATTCTAATTTTAGTTTAGTAATAGTCATTTAATAAAGCTTATATATATATAGATTATATAAATTAATTTACTTTTTTGTGTTGCATTAGCGAACGTTACTGCATATTATGCATATATTTTACGCCTTTAGATTTATTTTAAGAACAAAAATATATTTGTGCAAAAATGTACATTTATTATAATACTAGTTTACAAAAATTTTCTTACTGAACCAAAATACTTTTTCCAAATTAAAATTCTGTGCTTATTCAGAAAATCATAGTGTTTTTATTGATTTAGTTCTAGATTTCAAGATACGCATGAATTCTTAAAAAAATGCAATTATACAGAACAAATTTGCAGATAATACTTTTATTTAATATTAAATTAATTAATTAATGTATACCTATAAGAAGGGAAGTGTAATACAAATTTTAAGTTGTAAAAACAGGTAAGAACAAAATCGATTTTTTGCTAATTTAAAAAAAAATCAACTTTGGTTTGATGGAAATATTTCAGTTCAGTTGATTTCAGTTTTCAAAATATTTTAAATATTTTTTTAAGTGGTTTGTTGTTATTGTGTAAAATTACCAGTAGGAAATTTGTATGAAAAAATGACCCCGATTTGTTTTGTTTTATATGCGGATTATTGAAAAAAAGGTAGAAAAATAACATTAAACCTAAAGTTTGCATATTTAAATTATTTTGGTTTAGAAATAAGAAATGAAGAAAAATCTTGGACATCATTTAATTGGTCCAAATTCCAACATAACGTTGAAAAAACGTTTATTTGAGTTTTGACTGTTCAGTTTTATGGAAAGAAAAAGTGGATCACTTTGATTGTTACTTTTGTGTAATAAATTACTGGTATAAACTTAAAAAGGGAAGATCTCTTTAGTATCCAGATGTTACTCTGGCGAAGAAACCAGTTCCACATGAAGAAAACCTACCAAAACCAAAACATCCCTCAAGTTTTGACAAATTAAGCAAAAACGATCCTAGTTTTGATACTTCCTTCCTGAAAATTAATTCGATGCAGAAAAAAAAACATGATCTAACACAAGCCGAATTAAATGATTTAATTAGAGGCCTTCAGTTGTCCAAAAGGGTAGTGATCGCGTCTTAACCAATGGAAAGTCTCGATAAATCGACAAAAGTGACTATTCACCTAAATAGAAGTGACTTGTTTTCTGTGTTTTTTAAGTAAATAGATAATATTTGTTACTGTAATAACATTGGTTGCTTCTTTAAACAACTACGAGTATAACATACACCAACAGAATGGCGTATTTTTCTAGAAAGTTAAAAAAAATAGTTCGAATGCGGCTTTATTACACAATGGAAATAATTTACCAAAAATTCCAATTACACATGCAGTAAATATATAGAAGACTTATGAACGAATTGCAGAGGGGTTGCAATTGATAAACCTGTGGGTAAAAGGCATAAGGGGATAAGTCAAAAAAAGCAATTTTTCAGTAGAGCCTTAAACGTATTCCCATTAATTCAGGAAACATATTTATGGTTAGCGGGTATACCCTTTTGTTACCACATGTCATATGCTAACAAAAGCGTATACCTCCTAAACATAAATATATTTTCTGAATTAATGCGATCACGTTAAAGGTACTATTGAAAAATTCCTTTTTTTGACTTATCCCCTTATGCCTTTTACCCACAGAAACTATGATAAATTTAAATGGAAAGTGCAGACTTAGAGGTAATTTTTTTATTGTGTTATAACGATTTATTAAAGCAGCTTTTTATTGTTTCACAGGTGGTTGTAATGATTAAAAGGTGGTTTCACTAAGTATTGCTGCCTTCTTTGTTTAGGGTACATTTGGGCTAAAGCAGATTATTATGTTTGCAATAAATGGCCAATGACCATTCAGAACAAATTATACCGTTGGTTCTTTTAACCTCTTAAATGAACCATTGGTAGAAGCAAATTTGGTGATTTTCCGCCGCTTTATATCAAATTAGGTCTCATAAAAAATTTATCAAAGCATTAGGCAATGATGTACCTGCTTTTCAATATGTAACAATTTTTTTTCCAAAGATTAGTACCGCAAAATTAAAAGAAGGTATTTTTGTGGGTCCACAAGCAAGAAAATTTGTATAAAAAATGTCAATTGAGGAAGCAGCTGAATTTATCAAAGCATTAGGCAATGATGGATCTGCTTTTCAATATCTAACAATTTTTTTTCCAAAGATTAGTACCGCAAAATTAAAAGAAGGTATTTTTGTGGGTCCACAAGCAAGAAAATTTATGAATGATGAATTTGTATAAAAAATGTCAATTGAGGAAGCAGCTGAATGGACCAGCTTCAATCAAGTTGTACAGGGATTTTTAGCGAACAATAAATAAGAAAATTATGCTGTAATTGTTGAAAATTTATTGAACAATTGTATCATAAATCTGGTGCAAGAATGTGTTAAAATGTATTTCTTTAACGCATTTGGATTTTTTTCAGGAGAATTTGGGTGCACAAAATGAGCAGGGTAAAAGATTTCATCAGGACCTAATGGCTTTTGAAAATAGATATCTGGGTTTCTGAGATGAACAGAACTAAAAAAATTGAACACCACACACATTCCTCATTTGTAATAAACAAAACCAAAATTATTTAATTTAATTTATTTCTATTATTAATAAATATAAAAAATTGTAATATTGGAAATAATAAAGTTTTCTGAAAATTCAGAATATTTACCGTACATCTCATCCTATATTGTTCATAATTAAATTCTCTAGAATAAAGAAGAACTAACTTTTTATTTTTCGAAATCTTTTTTTGATTTACAGTGATCCAAAGTTAAAAAAAATGGAAAAAAAAATCAGAAAAAATTGTTTTTTTCTTATTTTTGGTCATAGTGACAAAACTACTGATGTAATTTATAAGCTTTACATCTTAAAATTTGTATTTTACTTCAGTCCTTAGAGTTATAATTTGGGATTGATATCAATATGAAGATTTCGTGCATATCTCGAAATCTAGAGCTATACCAGAACACCTACTATTTTTTTTGGAATCAGTACCAAATTTTACCTTAGAAAAAGTGGTTTTGGTTATATCAACTTTGTCGAATTTTGTAAACTAGTGTAAATATAATTATTAGTAAATATTACAGAATTGCAAGGATAACTTCTTATGTTACCTTTTAATTTTTATTAAAGGTATTGTATTTATCTACGAGCGTGCAGCTAATTGCACTCGATTTTATTTAGTTTTTATTTTTATTTTCCATTTAAAGGTACAAGACTAATTACTATAGTTAAATCATTTTTTTTATTTTATAAACAGAGAATTCCATTATTTGTTAATTGGAAGCAGACTAATCTTATGACTATAAATACCATTTATTTATAGATATTTAAATAACAGAGAAAGATAACACAGCCACACAAATTTTTTTTTTTGTTTTGATCTGGGGGTCTGACCATATTTCTTTTATGTTTTTGGGGTCGCTGAATCCGAATTTTTGATTTTGACATAACCTCAAAAAATCTATAATTTAAGCTATTAAACGCATATAACCCTAAAAATTCAGTTGTTGTCTAAAAACCCAAGCTCCTAAACCCTATAAGCCTAAAACTCACTTAACTCCATAACCCCATGACCCACTTAACCCCATCATCTATTTAAACATATAATCCTTAGGATGAAATTGTGATCTGAAAACCCAAGCTATTAAACCCAATAACCATTTTAACCCCATCCCATAAACCACTTAAACCCATAACCTTGTATCCCATTTAACCCCATCAACATCAATTCCAACAGTTCCGTATCTCAGACATTTAGCTTTGAAGAGACTAAAGTTATGCGGTTATTAAAATAACGTAGGGTAAAGTGGGGTGAGATGGCCAGCCGGGAGAGATGACCAAGAGCTAAAACTCAATAACTTGTCGATCGATGGCGCTGCGTGTCCTACCCGGCGACAAACGTTTATGTGTAAGCGCTGCCGGTGTGATTTCGACCACGTCAAAGTGACATTAAAGCACTCAGAAAATAAAAATACTATCGAGTCCTTGTGAAATTATATGATAGTTTCTTACTACCTACTACTGTGAATGTGTAGAATTAAATTTACCGGTGATTTTAACATATTAGGTGAGTACGATGTTCATTCGATTGTTTTAACCTCTAAAAACTATTAAAAGGATCCAGTGGATTTTGTTTGTCACGCTGGCCATCTCTTCCTAGCATTCGGAAGAGATGGCCACCAAATTGTTGGGATAGATGGCCATTTAATTTTTGCTTCTATTTCTTTACAGTTTAGCGTCCTTTGGGCTTTAATGCAAAAAAAATGCCAATAAAATATATCAGAAAGAATTCAAATCATGGAAACTATACTCAAGAAAATTTAAGGCTAGCAATTGAAGCTGTCAGAAACGGTTCTTCTGTAAACGGAACCTCAAAAACGTATGGCATTCATAGGAAGACCCTTGAAAGAAAAGTGAAGAATAATGTTTCCACGACTGGTAAAATGGGACCTGACAGCATGTTGGGGTTTACCTTATTGCATTGGCCAACTAACCCCACTGAACTGGGATAGATGGCCACGTACGACATATTTTTATAAATAATAAAACAAAAATTTTGACAAGTATTTTGACCCTATTTATTTACATACCTGTTGAGATGATAGTTAAGCTGTTGTAAAAAAAATATGTCATAATCCTAACCATTATAAAAAACTTACAGGCACATATTTTGCAAAACGGTGGCCATCTCACCCCCCTTTACCCTACATATTAAGTTAAATATCTGACAAACGTGGTTGATGTACATTGAGTTATGAGGTTAAATGGGTTATGGAGTTATGTGAGTTATGAAGTTGTGATATTTAAGAGCTTGGATTTTTATATGAAAACCACATTCTCAGGGTTATAGTAATAGCTTATATAATCGGTTTCTTAAGATTATGGCAAAATGTGATGGGGTTAAATAGACCTTGGATTCGGATTCAGCGACCCCAAAAATATATAGAAAATATGGTCAGGCCCCCAGATCAAAACTCAATTTTTTTTTGTGTTTTGATCTGGGGGTCTGCCATATTTCTTTTATGTTTTTGGGGTCGCTGAATCCGAATCCAAGGTCTATTTAATCCCATCACATCAGGATTTTGACATAACCTCAAAAAATCTATAATTTAAGCTATTAAACGCATATAACCCTAAATATTAAGTTGTTGTCTAAAAACCCAAGCTCCTAAACACTATAAGCCTAAAACTCACTTAACCCTATAACCCCATGACCCACTTAACCCCATCATCTATTTAAACATATAATCCTTAGGATGAAATGGTGATCTGAAAACCCAAGCTATTAAACCCAATAACCATTTTAACCCCATCCCATAAACCACTTAATCCCATAACCTTGTAACCCATTTAACCCCATCAACATCAATTCCAACAGTTACGTATGTCAGACATTTAGCTTTGAAGAGACTAAAGTTATGCGGTTATTAAAATAACGTACATATTAAGTTAAATATCTGACAAACGTGGTTGATATACATTGAGTTATGAGGTTAAATGGGTTATAGGGTTATGGAGTTATGTGAGTTATAAAGTTGTGATATTTAAGAGCTTGGATTTTTATATTAAAACCACATTCTCAGGGTTATATATAGTAATAGCTTATATGATGGGTTTTTTAAGGTTATGGCAAAATCCTGATGTGATGGGGTTAAATAGACCTCGGATTCGGATTCAGCGACCCCAAAAATATATAGAAAATATGGTCAGGCCCCCAGATCAGAACACAATTTTTTTTTTGTGTGGCTGTGTAATCAATCATTTTTCTTATTTTATAAACAGAGAATTCTATTATTTTTTAATTGGAAACAGTATTAGTCTCACTACTAAATCCAATTTTCCATTTACCTAACAAACAGGATCTAAAAATACTTTTAAGAACATATTTAAAAAATACACATTTTCCAACATTTTTTAAATAATAATATATCTCAATCTTTTTCAAATATATATACTAGAATAACGAATAATACTGCGACATCTATAGATTATATTTGCACTAATTTTGCGGTGAAGAAGAACAGTTGTCGCGTTTTTAATAATCAGTTGTCGGATCATTGTTCTCAAATTCTTGAGAT